GACTTCTTTTATCATTTGGTGCCCCAGACACCACCCCGCTTCGAAAAGATTGTGAAAAGGCGAAGACCCCCTAGCCTTACTTCCTACCTGACAGAAATCTCATGTGTTACAGTACTCCCGGGAGGACCCCTCAATTTGCCCCTGTGCTGCAGCCGCCCCTTTGCGGGGTCGGCGGCAGCGGCGGCAGCCCTTAAATAAGAACCCCCAAAAGGGTACCCCTAATTTTTGGGGAAATTCCCATATAAGCCAATTCTGGCAGAAGAGACACGAGGAGCGGCGAGGTGTAGGCTCATCACCATCCTGCATGAATTCGTATATTCTACGTAGTATAGCGCCGTATATTCTAGCAGCTTATACTATTTGTTGCATACATTCTCATATATTCTAGTATATTCTAGTATACAGAACCAGAACCTCATAGCCTGGACCTCCTGCCATAGCTCCCTTTAAGGGCATCTTGTCCATGGCTTTGCGCTTTAAGCGTGGTACGCTACGAGGAACTGCAAGATCTAGGCAGAAACACGCTGTTAGCATCAAAAAGCCCCCCGTTCATCTCTGAGCTGCTATGCAAAGACTTCTAAATTGAGACGCAAATAGGCTGACCACAACCTCAATCATATCTGAGGTACGTACGACGTACACCCCATATGTCCAAGTCTTGGATCCACCACCCTGGCACCCCTAATTCTGCCCCTGAACCGTGATGCTCTCATTGAACATCTTAGCCCTCAATTCTACAATCTTCGGGCAACGTAAACCTCTTACGTGTCCCATGTCCCATGATAGGTATAGCCAGGTTTGGGAGCTCTAGGAGACCATGAAGCTCCAAGAAAGCACAACCCCAGCCTGGCCGACATCTGCTGAAAAGCCGAGATCGCGAACCTTCCACGCTTAGCAGCCCAAGGAATGCGCAGTCTTTCACTTTTAAAGAAAGGGTACCCTTGAGACCCTATAGGAGGTTCAGGGATTCTGAAGCACACGCGCGCCCCTGGGGTTCCTGTTTCAGTTGGACGTTTTGCGGATTTCTCTGGCCGGCCATTGTATGATTCTAAAGGAGGATGTCCTCAGACTCATGGCCATATTCTTGGTGTGTGGGAGTGGAAATACAGAAGACCTTGGATTTTTTGAGACGTCGTCACATCCCGGCAAAGTGAAAGAAAGCCTGCAACTTGACACCTGATTAAGACACTCGCAATCACCCTGCCCCCTCCTTGCAGCAACCCCGCTTCCGCTGTGAATCGGAAAAATCACCAAAAAAAAGGCCTGGTCCATGTAGACTTCGAGGAAGCTGACCTTTCATGAGGATTTACTGCATGCGTTTGTGTCGGTCAACTTTCCGGAGGATATTGTTGGTGTCGCACGGAGCTGAAGGTTTTAAAGGAATCCTGGGTTTGCATGGTTCCTGAAACCTGGCTACAACACATGCCCACGCTTTCTTCGGAAAAAATGGGACCTGTATTTACAACCTGCAAACCTTGTAATACACCATCACAGGTTTCTAGTCCGGGTTTTGAAAATTCAGATCGCGAGCCAGCCTATCCATGAGCCGATCGAAGACACGTCCCATGGTAGAAAGATTGTCCACAATCTCAGAATGTCAGTGCGATTCTCTTGGATGTCCATGTCCACGAACAGTCTAAGACTATTCACTCCTGCACCTTGTGTGCGGTCTGCTTTAAAACTAACCTTCAAAGAGCAGGACAGGTTGAAAGGCTTGTCAACCTTCTTGCGTGCCTCATGCACCGACCGAAGCTGGACCGACGCTTCCTAACTCCTTGCAAGCTGCAAACGGAGCAGCAAACGCAAACCTTCTTGCACTATGAGAACCGATGCTGTTGAAGCCCATTCAAACGGATAAGTTTGGTTTTAACCCTGCCACAGTTGTGCCTTAACATAAGCCTTGAATGGCTTCACGGCGCCAATCTTGCCTCAGCACTGCGAGTCTTTCGCACCTGACCGCCCGAAAACAACCAAGCCCCGAAGCTCTTGACAGGCAATAGGACGCCCGCTCACAGCACGTCACGCCCGTTGCTTCGTCCGCAGCCTCAAGAATCACGCCGAAAGTGTAGTAAACGATCTGGATGGGAGCGTCAAAACTGTTCGTGGGTCCGTCGCTGTACCCAGTATTGCCTGACAATGACGCTTGCAACATAGGCAGCTCCACTTGGCGAAAAATCATGATTTGCATGGGTTGGCCATCACCGAAGTGCTGTTTTGACGAATTGGTGGGACAGCGCCTCTCGCAATGTACCGTAGCTTGCCAACAAGCCGCATGACCAACGTCTACCAACAAGGGAAGGGACGCAAAATTCACATCCTGAGATCATTTGCCAGCGGCAATCATGCGCACGCTCGTCCATGGCATGGCGTCGGCAACCTGTTTCGCAGCAGCGCCAGTCCATCAAAGTGAGGTCGACCCGAGGCTGTTTCAAGTACTCAGTCAACGTGCTTGAAAACCACCACACGCTTCTTGTCACCAAATTTGGAGAACCGGAGCCGGAGACCTTCCAGCAACACGTTCCATAAACGAGCTCCAACATCTTTTGGGACGTGACAATCACAGATCTGTGGCAGGAAGCATGCCTTGCAAGACTGAGCAACACACACATGGCAACTTGGCCGACTGAAGCCTCAGCCAGGAGCACATGCGCATGAGGCAAACGCGCATGGTGCCCCGGTATGCCCCGGTGAACATGGTCGAGCACTGATTGGGCGGTGCGAAGCAACGTTCTCAGGCGCAATGGTAGACAAGCCTTCCTCCCAATCGGCTCAGAACAGTACACAGGATGCCCATGAAAGAAGGACGGAAGGCACCCCAGTAGTCGCATGTGGCTTCAAAGCGCACGAAAACTGTTCCTCGAGAAATCAATCTTTTGTCAGGAGCGGCGTCCGGAGACCCCAATTTTGAGAGAAACCCTTCACGATTCCCTTTTGGTTCTATGCAGCTTAAAAAGAGCTGTTTCGCTTGCCACAAGAGCTGGGTTGCACTTGGCTTGCATGTACCGGACCTTATCGCCAAACATTACCCAACGACTGCAACCACGTCCCAAAACAATTCTGATGTCCGCAAACTGCAAACGTCCATAGACGCCACCAAACCCATCAGGCAAGCTGGGTTCAAATAAAAAGATATTTGGACATGAACCCCAGCAGGCCTGAACACTCAAATATCTCGTAGCCCCGATGGCCTCCACAACAAACGTGTAAAAACTTCAACCTATTACCACCAGCACCAGTACAGCACAAGCGTAGCTGGGGCGCTGTGATGCCGTCGATCTCCTCGCCATCCCTGGCTGCTTTCTGAGCCTCAGGTCATAGTCTTCTTGAAGGTGCACGGGTAGATCTGAGAATGGGAACGAGTACCCACACCCTAGGTAATAACATCTGTTGTTTTCCCATGTGTGAGCCTAATTACCTGCAACTGCTCAAGCTTTGGAAGAGTGAGAAAATCAGCTTCAGGGTGTCTCCGCTGCGTAAGGAATGTGCGAAGAGCACGCTGGGTCAGCTAATATCTCGTGTTTGTAATTACTTGGGATCACACTGATGTGCGAGAAGTTTGCTTTCGATTTTGCGGGCCCCGGAGTTATCACGATCACTAGAAATTCAATACCTATCCCGCAGTGTCCACTTTCCCTAAGGGCATATGTACTTAGGCCTCAAGGACTTTAATGTAGGCGCCCATATTGTCCCAAACTATGCGTACTTCCCATGGGCTTAGAAAGAGGGCTGTTCATATTGGCGGAATTCAGAGACACATTTGGATTGCGTCTCGTCACCCAGCAGTAGTCTTTTGGTTGAGTGTTGAACAGGTAATGTCCTAGCAGCCTGAACTCCAAAATGATGACCTTGTCATAGCTAGAGCATTCTGGGATCCGGCACCCTTGAACTCCTCTTCCAATCACGGATCATGTGGCTGCTGCTGATACTCTCGTCTGATGTGCTAACATTCACATTCGCGGGGTTCAAACCGTGGCCCTGCACACGCAAACTTTACTTGGAGGCCCATGGGACTTAGTAACTACTTATAACTGGGATTATAACCCTACTTGTAATTGGGGTAACCCCTATTTAGGGGGATTATAATTAGGGTTATAAGCCCAGTTAT